TGCTTCCATCCATCTTCTGTTCTTCTGCTGCAGGTCCAGGAAGCAAGGTGTTCCAAGCAGGGGCGGAGCCAGAGGGGTTGGCCGAGGTGGCAAACACCACCCCCAAATGACTGACAAGTGCGGCAATTAAAGATGGTCAGTTAAGCTAGGTTTATAGTTGACGCAATGCACCGGGCGTGAGCAACAATAGCTGTGTTTCCATCGCAAATGTGCGCAAAACTTTGTCGATATTCTGTTATGTCGAAAAAACACAGTTACACAATTGCGATGTTTCCATTAAGTAAGAAATGCTTTTAAAGTCACGCGTGAATACGTTTGTTCTCGCGATGTCATTACAAACATGGCGGCAATGGATGTAAACACATAGCATGTTGCTACTACAGCACTAGCGCTCATCATCAGAGGAGATGTCGGCGTTTTATTGAGGCTTTCCAGAGACAAGTCCCTTATGGGAGCGGTTAAATATGCGGCGTTTTTGAGAAATTGTAGTCGGTGAGTTTACTACTTTCTTTTACAACTTCTGTAATTTTACTACTACTTCGACTTCCTGTTGTCTTCTTCGTCGTCTTTTTCGCCAGTAGAAACAGCCGGTTGTTGATCATGTGACTCCCGTGATGCGAAAAAAGTGTTTCCATTGCAGTTTTGCGAAACACACTAATTTCGATACGGCCAAAAAACCACCTCATCCTAGTGCAAAAACATTTTGTTGAAAAAAGGACATTTTTTCAAAATTGGCGTGTTTCCAGTGAGCAAATTTATTTTCYAAATTCTAATTTGCGCATTTTCATGGTCAATGGAAACATAGCTAATGACGCAATTGTGCCGTTCCCGCCCCTTTGAGGCGTCCCCGTCTGCGGTTGTGCATCTCTGAATTTTTGTAACTCCACAAAGGCCGCGGGCGCTGCGGACCATTCAAATAGTTTGTCAAGCTTTTGCTCTTCTACTTACAAGATTTTCACAAGTTATAGTGTTCTGTCGTTTTGGAGAATACTACAACAACATAGCGTCAAGTATAAATGCCTACGCTGCTGGCGAACCCTTACAGCAAATGGAGAGATATCTGCCAAACAGCTGTATTGTCTGCTATTATCAGATTTTATAATGTCATGATTGCTCTCTACCACCATAATAAATTTCAGGTTGGTAAGCATTTATAATTGGCCTTGGAAGCCATCTTGGATTTTGTATTCGCTTTCAGATGTTAAAGATTCTAGGCTACGAATATATACATTTTCAGCTGTGAATTTAATGGCTGAATTACAGACTTTTGTAAAATTAGAATTGAGAGTGTAAATTCACACCAAATTTCAGCTTAATTATGTCTTAAAATGGCTGACTTGTAGCTGTTTTAAAGTTAGCTGTGGTGGCTAGCTTGAATTTTTGATTAGCATTTATTTGGTGAAGATCGTTTTCGGCTACTGCTACACTCCTTTTCTGTTTTGTTAGTCTAAAAAGGCAGTTATAGCTCTTTGTAAAATTAGCATTAAGCTTGAAATTGTGACTATTTTTTAAAATCCTTCTCATCTACTATCACAAATAAATTCAGCTCAATATATCCTAAACAGCTAAATTTGATTTAAAAGTTGGCTGTGGTGGCCGTCTTGAATTTTCCAACCCAGGGTTGTTTTGTGACCCCTCAAATAGCACCGTGGCCACCCCTTGAAAAAGTCTTGCTCCGCCCCTGGTTCCAAGCCCAGAGAAAATATTTCTGGGTCTGCCATGGGGGGTCTACCTGATCTGAGACCCTCCTCACTGTATCTCTAAGGCTGAGTGTGACCCTACAGAGGAAGTTCACGTCAGCTGCTCCTTTATGGGATCATCGTTCTTTTGGTCAAACCTTGTAAACATGATTAATTTTATAATTTTTTAAAATCTTGCATAACCCTTTAATTTTAGCTCAGCATCTGTAAAAATCAGTTATAGACATTTTTGTGTTTGCRAAGGTTGATTAGCCGTTTGTGACCGCCTGCTGCAAAAGAAAAACCAGAATTAACCGTCTCCATCACTGGAACCAGCATCGAAAACAGGCGACACAAGYGTCCAGCTGATCCACCCACGCTCAGGCCAAGTGGACCCTAACCAGCAGACCCCTGAAGACATAAAAACAAATCCAATTTTAGGTGTTATCCACTCTTCTGACCCACCTTCTGCTCTTCGTCATCCTCGCACYAACAGTCTGGAGCCACAAACATCCCGTCCCGGTCCAGCCCGCGTGTGGCGAGGCTAATAATAATAATAATGATGATAAGGCCGTCCGTCCTGCTGTCCCATCTCTGGCTCCTGCCATCCCCTCCTCCTCCGGCAGGACATAAACCAAACTCTGGCCCCGGGCCGATAACCCACCCCCAACCCCATTATGCTGAGCAGCACTTCTGCCACCGGGCTGGGTAATCTTCATCTCGGGCCCTTCGGCTCCCTCCATTGACCCTTAAACCGGTTCACTGCCTTCCTCGCGGCGGAGAACGAGACGGACAATCAGAAAAACGCCACACAGTCATTAGCATTTTAATTTCAGGCCACWATTCGTCTGACCCCAAGCACTTTACGGTTAAAAGCTGTCAGGCGGGACACGGCTTGGTTMTATGTTAGGTTTTAAATCAGATGTTTGATGCAAATGTCTTCAACAGTTGAGGAATATTACAGAAAAAACACTCTTAAAGGGGCAATATCATGTAAAATCAACTTTTTTGAGCATTATATCATATGTTATCATGTTATGCTAACACAATTTCAAGTTGTTTAGAAATGGAAATGAATGAGAAGTTTATTTTTGATTTAAACATAAAAACTGCATTTTAATAAAAACTGAAGGTGACAGTTGCTTTATTATGGTACAGAATTTAAATCTATGCCTGATAAACACATAATATTGCCCCTTTAAAGCAGGGAAACTCAAACTTTTTGTGTCTGGGGACCCCTCATAAACTCCATGTCATTTTGAAAGATAATTTACTGTCATATCAACCACTAAAAGCCTTGGGAATATATATTTTTTAGTTTATTATGTTTGTTTTATCAGTTCATTGTTCCCCTTGCATTTAAAAAAATAATTTCGTGAAATTTTTTGAGGACCCCCAAGATAACTTTTGCGGACCCCCGGGGATCCTGGGACCCCAGTTTGAGAACCTCTGCTTTAATGGGCCAATATTATGTGTTTCTCAGGCATATATTTAAATACTATACCAT